AGGAAATATTCATTCACCATTTTATTTTGCTAAACTGAAACTGTATAAAGAATGTAGAATTTAGTGAAGAAACACAGAATATTTATATTATTATTTTCTCACTGGCCTCTCTTTATATAGTCAGAGACAGACTTGTCTACGACTAGACCTGTAGTCCTACTCTGGCTACCTGAGATCACTCCTCTATGTGAAAATATCAGATGAACAATACTCATGAGTATTTTGCCGAAAGTGGTATGAGTACTCAAAGTCGTACTCAGAGTACTTGTTACTCACTCACTGAGTACTCATGTGAGTACTCAGTGAGTAAAAAAATGTATGAGTACGTATGAGTACTCGTCCGGTTTTTCTAGCAGAGTACTTTTTGAGTACTCACACTTGAGTACATTCACTAGGGTTTAGCTATTAACAATCTGCGTAATAACATCGCTTGTGGCCCGGATGACATCCCGGTGGTTGTGCTAAAAAGAACGTTGCAATTTTTGCACAACAATTACAGCACATTTTTAAGTTGTCAGTTGAAAACTTGGGATTTTCCATCAAAGTGAAAGTTAGCTTTCGTTAACCCCACTCACAAAAAAAGCTCAAAATGTATTGTGTCGAACTATAGACCAATTTCTCTCTTGTCCATAGTGAATAAACTATTGGAAAGATTTATTTATGATCAATTGTTTACCCATTAGAGCATAAATAAATTCTTGTCCAACAACCAGTTCGGCTTTTTGCCAAAAAACCTAAACAATTGACGCTTTATTATATTTGCTACATAATCTGACAAATAATCTTAATAAACAACCACCGGTAGACACTGTTCTAATCACATTCGATATGGAGAAAGCCTTCTACAAAGTTCCGTACCAAATAATCATTTCTCGTTTGTCAGTGTTAGGTCTATCTCAAACAACCCTACAATGGTTTATGAACTACCTTTCCAACCGTTTCCAGCAAGTAAGAGTTGGCTCTAAACTGTCTATGCCAACCCCCATAATATCCGGAGTAGTACAAAGCTCCATCCTTGGCGCTCTGTTATTCCTAATATTCATTAACGATCTTCCTACCGTTGTAGAACTACCGGCTGATACTATCCTCTTTGCCGATGATTGCACCCTCATCTGCCCTATAACAGCGACAAGCACATATCAATTCCGCCAGAGTAACATAAACAAAATCAGTGACTAGTGCCGCTCCAATCTTATGACTCTAAAATCGTCAAAATGCTATGTACAGACAGTTTAAACAAGCACCCGCTCATATCCGTCTTAAAAATCTATAAGAATTGTATCCGGAGTAAGTTAGATTATGCCTTTGCCTTGTATGACACCACTTTCACCACTCCGGTGTCTCGTCTCAAGTCCGTCCAACATCTAGCAGTCCATATGGTTACTCGAAACTTTTCCACCCCCGGTCAGAATTTAGTTAGAAGTTTGAATCTGCCTCTACTTGGAGTAAGACGAAAATACTTTCGTCTTATATACTTTTACAAAATCCTTACATTATTAAAAAGTAACTTACTTTTTAATAATGTACGTACGTATAAAATATATGGTGCGTTGTATCCGCATAACTCATTCTATTGATTTAAGATAACTATTTTTGTCATAATTTATTTCGTTTTTTAGTATTTTCGTCACTCGTTCGTAGAATTGGGTAATACCACAGAACATAGTTAAATGTCACATGAATAAAAGGTCGATGATACTTTAGACAGTACAATAGTGCAAAAAACAAATGGTATATAACCTAGTGTGACTTTATTACGTAGTACCCAACCCAGATTTACAAACGTGAACGGTTATACTGTTTATTCACTTGTTTAATTTCATCACATACAGCTATGAGCACCGATATCAACTTGAAACAATTAATTGTCGCTGTTGTCAATACTCTCGACGCTTTTCAATTGCAGAAGGGTGTTTTCTTTATGAAAAATGTATTAGATGCTGTTAATAACGATAGTAGTAATGAAAAACTATTGGAAGAAATGAAACAAAACCTGGTACATTTAAACATTAAGACCGAGTTGATTGATATTAATAATGAATTACGACATTATATTTGGTCAGTTGTTGAAAATATACTTAGAGCAACCGTTATTGATAGAAAGTTTGTTACACGAAACGTAAACAAATTCATCGATGGATTACAACCATTTGTCCGTACAAATGAGCAACAAGTGGCTTTAGATGAACTAATTTCAGCAAAAGAAGATGTGCTCGGTATCGAAATGAGGCATCGTACAGCATATAGAAAGCAGAAAAATTGTGCTTCAACGTTAATCGAAGACAATGGAAGTAATGATGAATTACAGATGACTCGTGAATTACAATCGGATTGTTGAAAAATCATTATGAATAATTGTTATTAGTCGCATCTAGTTTACAATCTGTTTATACTGTTTTGAGAGACAAATACATTCGCTATAATTCCAGTGATTTATTAATCTACAAATATGGTTGTGTTATTTTTTGCTAAAATAAAAATGTCTTACAGGTAGATGTAATTGTTTGTTGCGATAATTTCCATGTGTTACATTCTCATACGCAAGGTTACTTTTTAATAATGTAGAAGATATAATATTCATCTAAACTATACTTACATCGGCTACGATGACGTTTACTGGAAATTTTCTAAATACGCTAAGTTTGTCGGTCAATATTTTATGTCTAGTTCAAAAAGTTCCACAAATACTGTCTATTTATCGATCAAAAGATGTTAAAAGTGTATCACT